TCTGTCATCATATTTGACACATTTTTCCAAGCATTTTGATACCTTGTTCACCTTTTTCTGACCATTAATAACGGAATGAGCGTCCGTTTAAGATAATTTCCGTGCGTGCGAGCTCTTGTAATACATAGCATACATGGGCAAAAACATGCCTATACAAAATCCATTGTAGCGCTTTAGGATGCAAAGTGAACCCAATTTTTTTCTCCATATTTTGATAGAGTATGAATTGGAAATATGATTTAATGTCTCATTTGACCCTCAATTAACTCATGACGTCATCATAATGGCCTCCCAACTCAAAATTTCAATTTGCATATTATGACGTCAGTATTTTTCTGGAAAATTGACTGTATCTCTGTAAATATTGATTAATTTTCTTCCAAATTTTGATATGATCTAGCTGAGACAATTTTCTACAAATGCAGTTGCCACAATATTTCATTTTGACAAAGGTATCATGGCGTATTTTTGCGATTAAAGGTGGCATGTCAATTTTTCACATTTTGCGTGTATTCTCTATGGGACATGACTTTTTCTCAAAACTGGATTCTACATCCTGTCTTTTGCGAGCAATATCTCCATTTTTTTAGCTTTATTTTCGCTGAGCTTTGAGTATGTTGTAGCTGAGACAATGAACTATCATAAGTGTGCCCTTTATTTTTTGGTCAGATGCCGGGATCATGCTCATATTTCACTTACAAAGTGGGATTTGTAAATTCTATTTTCCGTTTACGTGTAATCTCTATGGGAAATGTTTTGGTATATCAGTAAGGCACTTGACTTCCGACCTCGAGGTCCCTGGTTCGAGTCCGGGCGTCTCCAACAATTTTTTTTTCTTCACTTTTTTTTCTTTTTGACCTTTCACTCTACCATCTCCTTTGAATATTAAAACACGTACAATCGCAAATAATGTAATAAACAACCATATTTACTTTATTATTACCCTGTTATCACTTGATCCATTACTTTTTGCGTGTAATCCTTATGGGAGATGACTTTTTCTCAAATCTGGATTCTACATTCTTATCTTTTGCGAGCAATATCGCCGTTATTTCGGCTTGGTTTTTGTTGATTTTTGTGTATGTTGTAGCTGAGCCTATATATGCTATCTAAATGTCCCCTCATTTTTTCAATCAGATGTCAGGATCACGCTCATGATCATCATCATGGTTATCATTATCATCATCATGACAATCATGATCATGATCAAGTAGTTTATTTTTAGTTCTTTATTTTTATTTATTTGCACACTTTTTTGTTAACAGGATAACTCAAGATCAGTTTTTTTTCCATATTTTGATAGAGTATGAATCGGAGATATGATTTCATGTCTTATTTGACTCTCAATTAACTCATGACGTCATCCGAACTCAAAATTTCAATTTGCATATTATGACGTCAGCATATTTTTGAAAATCGATTGTATCTCTGTAAAAATTAATTGATTTTCTTCCTAATTTTAATATGTTCTAGCTGAGATAATTCTCTACAAATGCAGTCGACACGATATTTCATTTTGACAAAGGAATCATGGCGTATTTTTGCGATTAAAGGAGGCCTGTCAATTTTTCACATTTTATATGACTTTTTTTTTCAAAACTGGATTCAATATTCCCCTCTTTCGCGAGCAATATCTTCATCCGATCGTTTTTTGGTCTATTTCCCCCACAATTTAAGCATGTTATAGCTGATAATATGAGCTATCTTAACTGTGCCTTCCGTTTTTTGATCTGATGTTGAAATCATGTCGAAATTTTCAATTGAAAGTTGAAATAGCGACTATGCCAAGGCCGTTTGTCAGCTTTACATGTATTGTCTAAGGGACATATTTTGGTATATTGGTTAAAGCACTCGACTTCCATTCCGGTGTAATTTTTTTAAAAATTTGCTTTCGTTTCTTATCAGTGATTTTATCATCTTTTTCGACTACTATATCTCGATCTATCTCTACGCTTTCACCCTCTCCCTCTCTTGCTCTGCCTCCCTCTTGATCTGCTCTAGCTGATGTCTCCCTCGATCTGTCTCTACTCTTTCACCGGCCAGCTCTCCTTTTCCCGCCTTTGGCTCCCGTTCTCCCTCTTATGTCGTATAGGATGTTCCTTAATTTCCTTTACCTCTTTCCTTTGCCCTTTGTATTCTTTTTTCACCCCTTCCAAGTAGCCTATGCATTCTGATTTCTCTTTCATCCCTCGGTCCATCTCATGTATTTTTACATGACTATACCCAGTCTCCTTCCGTCTCCTTATATCTCACCATGTTTCACTTTGATGACGTCATCACAGTGACAATTTTGATTGAATGCGACATGTCAGAATTTTCTTAGTTTGCGTGTCATGCCTATTGGAGGTGACTTTTTCTGAAATCTGCATTAGGACATTCTAGTCTTGTTTGAGCAATATCTCGATTATTTTTTCTCGATTTTCTGCAAGCTTCGAATATGTTGTAGCTGAGAAAATTCTCTACACTTAAGGTCACATTTTTTTTCTATAAATCAGATGTTGGGATCATGGCGATATTCCAACGACAAGATGTGAATTGAAAATTTTTCGTTTATGTGTAATGTCTATGTGGAGTAAGTTGGAATTCTAGACAACACCGACGCAAAGCCCCTGGACACCAGGTCGAGTTGTCCAGGGTGGGGTGCTTCGGGGGACAGCTCGATCAACTTTTTTTCTCCTCATGATTTCATGATCTAAAATCCCTCATCTTAGATAAATTTGTCATTTTATGTATTAAATATGCTTTTATAAACACCCACCCCTAACCTAACCATAACTCTAACCCGGCGATTGTACGCCTTCGGCTCGTCAAAAATATATTCTCGTTGCAAAAAATATCAGCTTTATTCTTTAGAACAGCTCTCAAAATACTCACAATTTCCATGTTCCCTGTCATGACTGCGTTAATTATAAAAGCATTAATACATAAAATGACAATTTTATCTACGATGAGTTATTGCCAGTTATTCACCCATGTATACGCAATGTTTACGTCTCTAGCTCCCACGGACAAAGAATTGTTTACATGTCAATACATTTCTCTTTCTATATATCTATCTACTCACATCTCGCTTAATTCTTTCTCCTCTCTACTGCTTTGTTTCCCTTCCCTTCTCTTGCTCTATTTCTGTATCTCTCTTTCTACTCTTTCACCCTCTCCCTCTCTTGCTCTGCCTCCCTCTTTTTCTCTTGCTCTGTCTCTCGATCCTTTTCTCTACTCTTTCACCCTCCCCATTTTCAGCCTCTGGCTCTCGTTCTCCCTCTTTTATGTCTTTGGATGTTCCTTAATTTTTGTCAATAAAATCTATTCTTCCTATTTAAAGTCATCATCTTATTGAAAGTCATCATGACAACTTTTACCATAAACAAAAATATTCTTTTCAAAAATAATTCCTAGGTACTGAGCTTCCTTCTCACATTCCTAGATAAATACTTATAAAACAGTACGACATACACAAATCACTCAATTACTACATATCTCATGAAAATGTTTGGAACAAACTGTTTCAATTTTTACTGCACATAAATTATCATTTAAGCTTTATCAAGGTAAACCTTTAAAGTCAAACATAACATTCTTCATCTTATCAACCATTACATGATATCAGAAGATCATGACACAACATAGCTCATATCACTAAATACCAATCCTAGTCAATATACATATAGTTGTATATCCAGAAATCTCAGTTCTCAACCTATGGTTTAATCAACCAAGTTTTATAATGTACAATAAATAATATGACATTCTTACTTTTATCAAGTCATGAGACTTAGATACATTACATTTCTCTTGTATTTGAGTTGAAATCTGCACATGCAATTCTAAACGCAATTCTAAATGCAATTACTAAAACGTGTTTCCAATAATCTGATTTTTTGTTTTAAATGATATTATATAGCACCCGTACTTCAGAACGTTAATATCATGAAAAAGGTTGAGCATGGTTATAAGTCTACAAACACCTTTGAATAAAACCTTTGCTAAAAACAATGCCAACATAGCACAACAATATCATGCTGTGGGATAATAAGCATAAAAACAATCCATGTATAAATATGTATGACATATTCTGCACAAAGTTGAAAACCTATAACATGGCTATACGTCAATGTCCATAGAGTTTGTATATAACCTGTTAATACAAAGTAGAGATTATCAAATGTTCACATCATCACCTGAAGACAATGTCTTTGACTCAAAATTAAACAATTATCCAGCATTAAAGAGCACAACCCATTGTGTTCAGCATCATTAAGCCCTCTCTGATATATTTAGATACATAAGGTGGCTGTCTAATTATCATCTCTTTCTGTTTTTTCTGTTCAAAATGTAGTGAGTAATATTCCTGCACTTGCATAAACTACAATGCGTATATATTGCTGTAATATTTTCTTCTTCATATCAAACTTGTGTAGTGGATTTCATGAATTTCTACAAAACATATGCTCAGGATAATAATTTTGTATGTGCTATCATAGAAAGTTTGATGGGTATACATTTGTGGCTGGGAAGATCAATATAAAATAAATCTCAACATTACATAATCCTGGTAAATGCAATATGTATTCAACAAATGACATTAACAAAATATGTTATTAAACCGTGATACACATCCAATAATTTACAATGGTAGACAGACAAAAGAAATCCATGAGTATAGTGCATTTTACATTCTGCTCATATAATCTGCTGTAACATTATACTGAACCTTCATCGATACAAGCCGAAACCTGTAATCTTGGAGCATCATGCTCCATCTCATGATTCTCTTATTGTCAAACCTCTTCGCTTGAATATAGAAGAATGGTTTGTGGTCTGTGTGTACTTCAATTCAATACAAATAATATTTTAACTTTTTGATTGCTCGTACTATTGCTAAGCACTTTTTTTCTATTGTTGTGTAATTTTCTTCCCGTGGTAATGACTTGTTACTCGCATAAGCAATCAGGAATTCTTCTCCTGAATGTTACTGCATAAGCCCAGCACCAGTCCGTTACCTTTACTACTGCTATCACCTTCACCAGTATTGTTAGTAGGTGAAAAGCATTACCCTTATTCATCTTTCAGATAGATGTTATTACTGATCACTGGTTTTATGCTAATGTTATCGTATTCATTTAATCAACGTCTGAGGAAATTAATTTTTCAAAATATTTTTTGTACAAAGCAAATGAGATATGAGCTCGCATGTGATGTCACACAGTTTGCAATTTGTGCTTCACTGATTACAACTCCAACAATTTATAACTTTCTCATTTGTTTTTGATTTTCCTCAAAATTTCATTGATTTGTTTCTCTCATTTATCTGCTTTTATGAAGACCAACTTATTTTTGGGGTGGACTTCTCCTTTAACACTTTACATGTATGAAGATCAACTTATTTTCGGGTGAACTTGCCCTTTAACACTTTACATGTATATGTAAGCATCTTAAAAAATGCATATTTATAATTATATGGCTAACGTCATTTACTCCTTACTGTACTTGGGGGGGGGGGGTGGCGTAAGAGCCCCCCCCCCCCCCCCTCCCCCACCCCGCATTTTTGGAGATAGCGCCGCAACCGCTTGGAATTTTACATTGTTGTTCTTCGATTCTTTTCCTCAAGTCTTATGCACATTTTGATACCATTTTCATCGAATTTGGATACACCTGTCGGGTGTTACATAGCAATTAGTATGCGCATATCATCAAAAAGTGCTACAATTGCATATATACATGTACAAGCAGAAATGTGAATACAGGTAAATAGATGTATAAGTGGGAGATATGAATTGATATCAAATTGCTTTGATACGTTTCTCAAAGTAACTTGATGTATTCCAGAACAAAAGAATACATTAGAAATAAAATAATAGATCGAGGACTTAAAACCACAACTGTCTATGTCCAAATATGCCATTTGAGTAAAAATGCATTTAAAAGTTTGATTGCAAGCATAAAATCTGACAAAGTGTAGTAGTTATGTTTAATGCCATTAATTTATAAATAATACTTGGTCAAACATCATACATGGAAGCCATGACCTTTTGACCCTGTCAATGTCAGAAACTTAAAAAATGGGAGTGCCAAATACCATCCATGGAACTCTTCAGGAATGGCTAGGCTATTGCACAAGTTGATGAGATCCTTCTTCTTAAGGTTTAGGCTTTTTTAAATGCTTCTCTTGGTAGACAAGGTCCAGATTAGGTGGAACTGATGATCTATCTTCTTGTAGTCATCCAAGTAGTTATAGATGGTAGCAGATGGTGCTTTGCTCTTCCTTCCTGTATTGGAAGCTCTTTACATGTAGCCAGTTGAAGACGTGTCTATCTTCGTCTAGGCGTTTGTTATTCATGATCTGCTGTGAGAGATTTTTCAGATCATAAAAGTCTCCATGGCACATGTTTATGACCTTGTATGGAAGCCGACGTCTTAATTTGTGGAAGATGTTTTACCCAGTCATGCATTGTGAAGACATTGATGTTCTTTTTTTCTGTTTCAATAGCAGAATGCATGCTATTGCATTCCACGTGGGAATGCCCACTCTCCAGAAAATTGTGTGCGATGACTTTGAGATGTGTGTTCTGGATGGCATAGAGTAATGTTGCAGCGACATTCACTTTGCAAATCAAAAGAAGCAGAGACAAAAGTCCTCTTTCCAGCAACTACCTTGGCCTGGCATAGCTGCCAACACTTTGGAATTTTCAATTAGTAACATTTAAGTAAAACTGAATATCATGTGCGCGTAGCGCACATCACGAGCTTTCTTTGGAAAATCAGAGTCAAATTCCCTCATGTAGCAGGGTGTTGTTTGGCGAGCCTTAGTAATAAGGACATTTTTTAGAGTTTCGTTGCTCATGGACCCTCTGAAGTCAGTTTTGTTCTTTCGCACCTGACTGAAGACCCTTTCACATTCAGCATTGGTATGGGGTATGGTTAGAATCCCTTTTGCAAGTCTGTCATAGCACAGTTCACCAGAAACATTCTTTTCTGTCATCATACTTGTCCACTGCTTGTCAGTAGATTCCTCATTTTGCACTAAGTCCGGAAGCTGAGCAATTTGATAGATAAGGAACTGGTTCTCCAGAGCATCTAGGGCACTGTGCTTGTCTTCTTCTTCTTCCTGAAGCAACATGCAGGGGAACTTGTTGATGAAGAACTTTAGAGAAGTGAATTTGGCATCCTTCTGATATGCAATGTCAGCCACTTGCACATGGATGAGAACATCAGACTTCAATAGAAACTTACTTACAATGTAGTCACATGCCTTGGTGTAATATGAATGCACTGCTGCATAGAACTTATGGCAATCAGACTCATCTAAAGTGTTCACAATTTCTCTTGTTGCGCTTTTTATGACCATTTCAGATTCTTCACAAAGATTCTCCTTGTTCTTGTAGTCCAGAAGGGTCAAGTCTGTGGCTGCAATGATTGCTTGTGGAGCTACAAATTGGCTGTACAAGTCACGCAGTAGACTTTCTAGTTTATTTATTATTATTATTTATTTTTATTTCTTCCCGTTTTTTGTGCCCAGGATAACTCACAGTTTGGTTTGGTCAATTTGATTCAATTTTGGCACAGTCATAGGTCATTGTCATGACCTATGACCTTGAAGATTTTCAAGGTCATCAAGTCATCGTGACGTCATCCAGGCGCCATTTTGTGAAATCACATTATCCATCATATCTTCATGATGCATAAGCAAAGGTCATTCATATTTATATCACATATACTTCTGGTCAAGGGTCAACAGGTCATGTCATCAAAGGTCACATAAAGGTCATGACGCGCGCGTATGTGCGCGTCAAAATTTAAAATTGCTCAAAATCACTAAACTATTAAACGAGAGTACGAACCAGGTCATTTTAAGCATTTCAAAATTTTCCGTCCGTAAGTGTCCCCGCGCGCGGTGTGCGCGCTCACAGCGCGCGGAAAAGGTCAAATTCAAAATGTTTACATGATTTGGATTCCTCTTAACGTAATTGACAATTTACATTAATTTCAGTCACTCTTCATATTTCATAAGGCCGTGAGCGTGCGTCAAAGTTCAAAATCCGCGCGTACTGCTATGGGCAATATAGTGCAAATTTGATCAAAAACATGCCATTTTAAAAATCGAAATAGCTCTTCAGATAGTCCATTGACCCCCAATTTTTATATCATGGTTGGAGAAAGCATGAGTTGGAGATATGATTTCATACCACCCTGACTCGTACAAAGTGAAATAAAGTCATCATATTGGCATCTAAACTCAAATAAATGTATTTTGTTGATGACGTCATTTTTGTATTTGTTTATTTGAGATTATCTCACTTATCGGTGATCGATTTTCTCCCAGATTTTGATATGTTGTAGCTGAGATAATTCTCTATCAGAAATATGCCATTTATTTTTCATTTATCTAACGTCATCATAGTTAAATATTCCATTAAAGGCGACAATGCATAATTTGTCATATTTGCGTGTTATGTCTATGGGAGGTCACTTTTTTCAAAACATGAATCTGCATGACAAGGTGCTTTGACCAGTATCTCGGTTGTTATTCAACAGTTTTCTCCCAAATTTTAGTATGTTGTAGCTGAGACTATTTGCTATCTAAATCTTTCCTCATTTTTTCAATCAGATGTCAGGATCATGTTCATACTCATCATCGTCATCATCATCATCAATATCATCATTATCATCATCATCATCAATGTCACCATCATCATCATCATCATCATGGTCTGAAGATGATGATCATCAACATCACCATGATCATGATCATTATCATCATCATCATTAACATTATCGTTTTTATCATCATATAACATTTTCATTATCATGATCATCATCACCTTTACTATCATGATCATCATCATGTTCATCATGATCATCATTGTTTACATGTCTATATAACTTCTCCCATTCTCAAATCTATCATAAGACTTAGACAGACCACCTTATTCGTCTTCGTGACGAATTAAATTTCTAGTTTTTCTTATTTCCACCCACTTTTTTGTTAACAAGATAACTTGAAAATAGCTCAATCAAATGCCTTGACATTTGGCACACATATGTATAGGCATATAAACAAAACACACTAAGGTTTCCAACCTTGACCTTGACTGATGACGTCATCTAGGCGCCATTTTGTGAAATTTTCTGAAAATCAACTCATGATCATATCTTCATAACCAAAAGGTATTTCTCATTCATATTTATCATGATCAAGGTCAATATCAGTCCGGTCAATTTCAGGTCAAAAAGCGCGCGCGTGCGCGTACGTCCGCGCTTGAGCGTGCGCGCAAAATTTCAAAATGCTCAAAATCGTCTCAATTTTTTTTTGCATACGTTTCAAGTCATTTTAAGCATTTTATAAAAAATCGCGCACACGCGCATGCGCGCGCGTTTTCGCGCGTAACACCATTACAAAACATAGAATCGCCATTTTTTTTTTCATGATATTTCTCATATTTTTTCGAGGAATTTGATACCATGTTTATCTCTTTATGACCATTAATAACAAGATGAGCGTCAATTCAAGATAAATGTCTGTGCGCGCGAGCTCTTTTAATACATAGCATATATTGGCAAAAACATGCCTATACAAAATCCATTATAGCCCTTTGGAATGAGCCGTGACCTTCAATTTGTGTTCATATTTAGATAGAGTATGAGTCGGAGATATGATTCCATGTCTCATTTGGCCATTAAGTGTATCGTGACATCATCATAATGGCCTTGGAACTCAAAATACGAATTTGCATATTATGACGTCAGCATATTTATGGAAAATTGATCGTATCTCTGTAAATATTGATCGATTTTCTTCCAAATTTCGATATGTTGTAGCTAAGATAATTCTCTACAAGTTTAATTGTAACCATTTTTCATTTTGATGACGTCATCAGAGTGAAAATTTTGATTAAATGCCTCATGTCAGGAATTTCATAATTTGCGTGTTATGACTATGGAAGGTGAATTTCGTTCACGTAATGAATCTACATGATAGTGTTTTTTATGCAGTATCTCGCTGAATTTTGCTCTATTTTGTTTTCAAATTTTAGTTGACCAGCCCACCTATACTTGTTCCAAACAAGTATTATATGTCTAGTTTTTTTTATCTTGACCCACTTTTTTGTTCACAAGATAACTTGAAAATGGCTCAATCAAATGCCTTGAAATTTAGCACACATATGTATAGGCATATGGAGAAAACACGGTAAGGTTTTAAACCTTGACCTTGACTGTTGACGTCATCTGGGCGCCATTTTGTGAAATTTTCTGAAAATTTACTCATGATTATATTTTCGTAACGGTAAATCATTTCTCATTCATATTTATCATGATCAAGGTCAATATCAGTCCGGTCAATTTCATGTCAAAAAACGCGCGCGTGCGCGTACGTCCACGAGTCAGTGCGCGCGCAAAAAAATGTAATGCTCAAAATCGTCTCAAATTTATTTTGCATACGTTTCAGTTCATTTTAAGCATTTCATTAAAAAATCGCACACACGCGCATGCGCGCGCGTTTTCGCGCGTAACACCATCACAAAACGTAGAATCGCCATTTGTTTTTCTTTTTTGATATTTCTCATATTTTTTTGAGGAATTTGATACCATGTTTATCTCTTTATGACCATTAATAACTAGATGAGCGTCAATTCAAGAAAAATGTCGGTACGTGCGAGCTCTTTTAATACATAGCATATATGGGCAAAAACATGCCTATACAAAATCCATTATAGCTCTTTGGAATGAACCG